GGAAAGTGTGTGTTATGTGCTTGGAAGTACAGTTCCTAGGTCAAATGGTTCATAGAGATGGAGTGCCCACCGGGGAAAATTTCAGCAGTCAAGGACTGGCCCTATTTTGTAAGAAACCAAAGGTTTTCAACTTTCTATGTTTTGCATCATTTTTTTGATGGTTTGTGACCAATGTCTCTAAGACAGCGCCACTATTTACACTGGCTAAAGTTGATGCGTACTTTTTATGGACATTGAGATGAGAAGAAATGTTCCTGTCCTCGAAGTGTACCTAGATAAAACAACCATTTTGGCTTATCCTTTCAATATTGACCGTTCATTCTGAATACAGAGGCCATTGATTGTGGAATTGGTATGGTTTTGTCACAAGTACAATACAGAAAGTTCTCACACATGCCATTTATATACTGAGTGCTTTTGTGTGCCAATAGTGTACAACAAAGAAACAACTGTCCACAGCTGTCATGTATGTCAAATTTTACTACCACAACTTGTATGGTAGGGAGATTACCATTCAAGTGAATAGTAGATCACTGAAATGACAATGAACTTCAAAAACCAGAAGGTACAATTGTACATTGGATAGCAATTCTTGAAGAGTACAACTTCATTGTACAGCACTGCCCACGTCAGCAGCATGGAAACATCAATGTATTATCTCACCAACCAATGAGAGTATGTTAGTTTATTGAATGTTCAGATCCTTGATTTAGTACAATGGTTAAAGTCATTGCAGCAACAGTGTTTATACAAGCAGTAACAATTCTGCACGTGGATTTACACCATGAATGATCAGCCAGGAGCTTCAAGAAGAGCAACTGAAATTTTCAGACATAGCTTTGGCAATGCTTCCTTTATATGATGGTAGTGCATATTCATCATATACTGGTGAATACAGTACTGATTTGATTCTTGTATGGTCAGTTACACGTGCAATATAATGGGTTGTACCATAACTATGAACCACCAACACATGGTACCCAACCTGTGATGCAGCTAGTGATCCCTAGAGCTCTAAGGCAAGAAATACTTTAGCCTTTGTATCATTCAAGGACTGTATGACACCAGCTAGTGATCCCTAGAGCTCTAAGACAAGAAATACTTTAGCCTTTGCATCATTCAAGGACTGTATGGCACCAGCCAGTGGTCCCTAGAGCTCTGAGACAAGAAATGCTTTAGCATTTGTATCATTCAGGGACTGTATGGCACCAGCCAGTGGTCCCTAGAGCTCTAAGACAAGAAATACTTTAGCCTTTGCATCATTCAAGGACTGTATGGCACCAGCCAGTGGTCCCTAGAGCTCTAAGACAAGAAATACTTTAGGCTATCCATAATTCAAGAATTGTATTGCAGCAGGGAAAGCCGTGAATTATTGCAAATGTGCAAAAGAAGTGTTTTTTCTAGATGTATTTATGTCAAGATATTGAGGAATCATGTAAACATTTTACCACAGAGGAAGAAGGCGGACACGTCAGAAAAACCTCCACCAGAGAGTTATAGGTTTCATTTTAAGAGAATCACCCTACATTTACACTTCCCACTGGATATGATGTATAGCCCTTCACCCATTACAGAAGTACTGCAGTGTCTACAATAATATGTGGAATAGCTGCATTCTGCAATAGCAAATTAGCACGAATTTGCAGTTGTGTCACAAAAGAGATGTTATGACATAACAGTAATGGAACGACATTACAAGCCTCGTGACTGGTTATAGTTGTGGTACATACCCACAATATAAAAGTAACTCAGTTTCAGTTCGACTGGCTCATATCTTGTCTTCCAACATATTGGTAAAGGGAATTATGAATTACAACAATCATGTAGCATGCAATACATATCAAACACGCTGACAAACTGAACCTCTTGAGAACTGCTTAATTCGAGAATAAGTGGTGGATGACAAAGTTTGCTCTGATGACGAGAATACTGTGTCATATGATCATATGTTAGTTGATAAGAAGAAAGATACTTGTAATACATATCAAGCTATTCAGGAAGAGTCAGATTCAAATGAGAAGACAGCCTGTTCATATGAATGACAACAATGATCTCCTAATTGTTATGGCTGGAACTAACTGCTTGAACAGCAGTTAGAACAGTCAGTTGGTTGAAAAGTCAAAGACGAAAGTAAGTGGAATTCCTTGCTTTCCGCACTACGAAGGTTTTTTTTTTTCACAATATGATGTATATGTAGTACATTATTTGATAACCATTTAATTATTTTCAAGTTAAGATAATTAGTTGGTTAATTCTTTCCGGGACATATGATATTTATTAGTACGACATTGGTCAAATATTTTGTGATAATCTTTCCATGTATGTGGTGAGTTTTAGTGGAATTTTTGTGGAGCAGATTGTGTGAAACTCATTAGATGCACAAAGATAGGGTATCTCAGATTGTTATATGAAAACCTTAGTAAAAGTTGATGTTGGATTGAACTATCGATAATAACCATTCTTTCAGCCAAATAATATCACAGAACTTCGTGCTTCTTGTTTTCTTAGTACTCTGATTGATTTTTATGATGAATTTTGTTGAATGTTTGCCTGTAATAACATTCTTGCCAGAACTCATCAACCATGATCTTACGGATTAGCTTGTACGACTTTGTGTTGATTGTGTTACTATGCAAGATTGTGCCTGGTTGTCTGCTTGTTATATACTGGTCTTCTCAAAGTGCGAAAAATTAACATAGATTGTATAATTAAGGCAAGTCTTATATAATATTCCTAGATTTTTGTTCGAATTATTTTTCGTGTTTATCTGATATAGCGGGTTTCAGGATCCCTAGATGGCAGTACTACCAGAACAAAAGTGATTATTCAGGCTTATTGCTATGTTATAATGGCAAAAGTAATTTTTACTGTTGTCTCTTGTGTTTGTTTGTGTAAAGTTAAGCACAAAACTACACAATGGGCTATCTGTGCTCTGCCCACAACGGGTATCGAAACCCGATTTCTAGCTTTCTACGTCCACATACATTCCGCTGTGCCACTGGAGGACTTGGGTATAGGGGTAAGGTGCCTTCTACCTCTTCGATAACACAGGCCTGCGAATTTAAACTTCATAAAAGTTGTTTTGATTTTAATAAAGGATTTTGCATAATTCAGCTACGCAGATTTCGAAAATAATATTAATTTTTTTCTATCACGTAAGGTTTTTTACAAATAAACATTTTCAATTATTATGTTTGTTAACAGAAATACAAACAAACTGAAGAACAGGGAAGAACATTGATGTCACATGAATATGTATTTTCATTCATCCAGATTTTTTTGTGTGTGAAACCTACGTCTTTTTAGTTTCAAACTATGTGTCGTGGTCTTTCTTTTATGTATTACGTTATGACGCTTTGTGAAAAATCTGTACGCGATGGAGAAAAATGGATATCATTTTCAGATATAGTGTACAGGAATTACCGTAGAACATGTAAAATTATCAATACAGTAATACCATCGCAGGCCTGTGTAATCAGGCAATGGTGTAAGAACTCTCGTGTATATGAGATAGATGAACTTGCTGACTAGTGACTGTTGCCAAGGCCCTACAATTTTGTTTGTTTGTAGTTAAACACAACGCTAAACAATGGGCTATTTGTGCTCTTCCCACCACAAGTATCGAAACCCGATTTGTAGTGGTGTAAGTCCGCAGACATACCACTGTGTCACTGGGGGGGGGGGGATATCTTCAAAGCTCTGTTAACTAACCAAAAGAATTTAAAAAACGAATTGTTATTAATTAAATATATAGCAATCGAAAGAGGTTTAAATCCGAATATTATAGATATGCAGTTAAGAAATTCACTAATGCTATAAAAGTTGATCAAATTAGTACTTTAAAACCTAGTTATGAAATAATTAGAAAGGAAGGCTTAATTTTACCATATGGTCCAGGTTTAACTACTAGTTTATTTAAAGTGTTTAAAAAACAACCGATATTCTACCCTATATTTAAACCGATAAATAAGATGAATCAAATGTTAGGTACTACGAAAGACGAAATACCGTTAACTGAAAAAACTGGAATATATAAAGTCGAATGTGAATGTGGAAGTATTTACTTTGGTCAAACAAAACGTAAATTAAAATACCGTTTAAATGAGCATAAGGGATAT